TGTAAAGCAAAATTAAAAACATTTGATTCCAACAAGCTAAAAATAGAGTGAGCAGCACACACCTCGAATAATCAACTTGTTGGTAAGGTAACCAACTCTTAGCATTACAATACACTGCACTCTGTATTCTTCCATTTCATTTTTCGCACACAATTACAGTTACCAAAATCTAGTGGAGCCTCTCAACCATTTGCCAGCATTGATCACAGTCTGACAAGTGAAACCACCTTTGTTTTAATTCATTTTCTTTCAAACCCTTACCACCCAAGCCCAGAAAGCTTACAAATGAAACAAACCCACTTTCAAGCCATGTTAATTCCCTACCTTTTGATGTTTTGCGTATTAAATTCCTGGTCTTGGAGATCTTGACTGAGTTTACTGCCTGACTGGCTATTTTTAGCGTTTCCTTCCTAAACCGTATTTGGTGGTCTCCACCTCCGCATGCTAATTTACTAGGCATAACAAGAGTGTAAAGCTGGACTCAGCTGTCTGAAGTTATCACCATGCTTGAGTGTACAGCCAGGCTTCCTGACTGGGCCAGTAAGCTATTTAAAGGAGCTTATTATGAAACATGGCTCATTTTTCCAATGCAGATGCTTCCTAGCTAAAACCACTCTTCCAAGAGAAGCTGTAATAATACAAATACTACAGCTCTGTATGCACATCAGCACTGGATTGGTAGTACTCAAAAATTCTAGTTAGGTTTTAGGCTAATCCCTAACTCTGAGTATGAGCAATAGTGCCGTATGTAACGGGGCGACAGGGATGAGAGACGTGCGGATCCATTTGCAAGCTTTTATTAATAAACATGGTCAAAACACAGACAGGGTCGAACACCAGCAAACGGGTTTGGTAAGGGCAAGACACAAGATAGTCCAAGAAACAGGCAAGGGACAATCGACAGCGAATGTAATCCAACAGGGCAAGGCAAGAGATTATCCAGGTTAACAGCAATAGTCCAGGCAGGGGCAAACAGAGTCCGAAACAGCAAGACAAAAGGGTAATCCGAAAACACAGTCAAGAATCTGACCACCGGAAAACAGGCAAGGCGAGACTATGACTAAACTAGGAAAACAAGAACTGGCTCCATAGAGTAGCTATCTCGATACCATAGAGCCCCCATAACAAATCAGAATTTAACCCCTGTGTATAGGTAGTTTGCATATACACAAACCCACTCCCAAGCAGTCACCTGAGGAGGTTCGCTGCAGTTCCTAAACTGTCTGGCGCCATACAAAGATGTCGAGCTTATATTACGCATGAGATCACAGACACATAACTGGAGCTGATGTCTTATTGGAGTCTGAACAGCTGTACTACTTATGTGTGATGTTGTGAGGTAAAAAATAAATGTTACACCAAAGATAGTCAGTGAGTGTGTTAACCAATAACAAGAAAATTACTGTTATATTTAAGAGTGAAATACGGATATGTATTAAAGGGGTCATATGATGCTTTTTTAAAGATCATTATTTTGTGTATTTGGTGTAACAGAATAT